TATGTCTGCAATGTTGCCTTCTGGTAGTTCAATCCCCTCAGTTCTGACTACCTTCCCTCTCTTTGTTACCATCCGACTACACTTCTCCAGTCCGAATGACATTCCAATGTCATTACTGTATAGCCTGGTAGTATGGATCAGTGAATCGATGTCTCGTTCACTCTTGGCATACAGCTTGATGTCATCCATGTACAGGAGGTGGCTGACAACTGCTCCGTTCCGTAGTCGGTATCCGTCGGTATGCATCAAGCATTTGCCATAAATACAATAATACTTAAGAGACATTTTCAAACAATAAAAACTCGAGTGAAATGGGCAAACCTGCTCTGGAAACTAACTAAAATAAAATGGAATTAAAAAGAGAAAAGTAAAAAAAAAAAAAACTAATAAGAGAATACAAAACTATAATAACTTTGATATGTACTTAACTCCAGTAACAGACCATTCTCTGGTGTTATCTCAACTGCAAAGTTGATTAATTGTCGGTATTGCAATTGAAGCTCTGTGTTTCTGGCTGTGCCATCGATCCCTTTTGTTACAGGTTGTCCAGAGACGGGCACATTTTTGAAGACTTCTTTTTTCTTAGGACATATTAGCGAGGTAGTGTCGATCAAGCCCTCATTGCTAAACTCCCCATCAGAGATTGGCTTACTGCTTTTTGTGATTTAGTGGGAAATTACAAAGCAGGCCTTGAATGCTCCATCCCTGGGTGTGTAAAGCTGGGTAAACAGTTGTTCTTGTCAGATGGGCATTTGAATCTCATCAGTCAGGTTCATGTTTTTTTCTGTAAGTTGAGTCTTCTAATAGTGATTTAAATCATGCTCCTTAAACGCAGCAAGCTGCTCTTCATTAAATAAATACTCAGGAGTGCAAATCTTGTTAAAAAACCATACATTCAGAAGAGAAACTTTTGTGGTTGTTACATTCTCTTTAACTAACCAGACCAAAACAGCACAGAACCACATCATCAACTTTTTTATATTTACAGTTGCTTTAATTTCTGTATGATCTGTGTAATACTGAATAATATTCTTGTAGCTACAGAGCAGCAGATATGTCCATCCTACACTGATGATCTTGACAAGCATGAAGAGGCTATGACTGAGGAGGATAGTCTTAACAGAGTCATTTAAATTAAGTCATTTAAATGATTTATACGTATTTAATTTTAAATCATATCAAAGGATTCAGATCATGTCTTCATAATGGCTGGTAGCCTTATTTATTTGAGCCTACCAGGACAAATAACTTATATTGTGCATCACAAAGATGAATTGTAGACTAATTTGTTATAAATTGTTTGGGTTTTTTTTAAATCCACTGTGGAAAAGGTGGACTGGGTTTGACAATGTCTGCAATCTGATACAACTGCAACTAGATAGTAATACGGAGACGTGTCTTTCTCTCACTGCAGCTGGACAATGTCCATGACGTTTCTGCTCAGATGTTTTTTTGTTAGTTAGTAATAATTATTTTGTCCAGTTGCTTTCTTTTTTCAAGTTAATACAACCAAGCCGTTTGATGGAAGTGAAAATGATCAACCTAGGTGAATTCAAAGACACCTTTGTGCTGATATTTGGTACTCAGTAGTTTGTATGACCCCACGTGCTTGTATGCGTGCCTGATATCGGGGCATTCTCCTAATGAGATGTCTCCTGGGGGATTTCCCCCCAGATCTGGATCAGGGCTTTGATAGTGTGAGATGTGATCTGGGGATTTCAGATGGACCAAAACATCATCTCCTAGAGGTGTTCTGTTGAATTTTAGGTAGCATGGGGGCCAGTCAATGGTATCAATCCTTCATCCTCCAGGAACTGTCTGCATACTCCTGCTGCATGAGCCCGGGCATTGCTGTGGACCTTCTCCAGATCCTTTATCATTTGTTACATGTGCTCAGGGTGAACCTCCTCTCATCTGTGAAAACCACAGGGCACCAGTGGTGGATCTTTCAATTTTGGTATTCTGTGGTATTCTGATCCTAAAGTGAAGGGGGAAAAAAAGAAAATGCGAGGAGAGAAAAAAAAAAGGCCTCTACTTTAAAAGCAGATGGGGATTGTCTCATTGTTGCCCTTCTAGTGTAGCTGCCGTTAATTTAATTAACAGCAGAGCAACAGAAACAGATAAAAAAAAAACCCTCTGCTACTTAACTCAGCATATCAATATCCCAGACGTTTAATTGACTTCATCCTATACTCTGATTAAAAACTGTTTTAGCAGTATTTATTCACTAGAACAAAAATCTGTGGCAAAAAGAGCACTTTGATGCTGAGCAGTGGTGTGTGCACAAGAGAAATGACATCATTTATTATCAGGAAAATAGAGGTTTCTCTTCTAACTGTGGACTTGACTTATAACTCAGTGGGGAGAGTTTGAGAATTTCCAGCTCTGTGTCCTAACTGCGAGTGTCAAAGAAATGCATCATGAACCGGGTGTTTTCATCAGAGGGAAGCATCTTTCCTATGAAATGCAAAATGCTAACAATAGACTCTTCTCTTGTCAGGGTGTGGCTGTGGGCCATGCTGTACTGGAGGCTGACCCAGAAATTTGGAGAGCTAAAGCCCACGTTGGATCTGGACCAGTGCATGCTGAAGCACAGTGGATGAAAGTAACAAAATGTCCCACAGGCCTGCCTCTGATTCACAGTACTCATTCTTTCCTTAATGCTGTGATTAGACCTCAGTGCTGACTGAATGCCAGCTCCTTCCTCCCTCCAGGTCTGTGTTTAGTAACTACAGCTAAGGCATTGCCAGTAAAATAAAACAGTATTGTTTCCAAAACAAGAACCTTCTGTCTTCATTCTTTTAGGATTGTAAGGAAATGTATCAACTCTTTATACAAGAGATCATTATTTATTTATTTTTGCATTTACTACATATGGAAAATAATGGTGCCTCACTGGTGGCCAAGTGTTGTGGTAATAGACTACCATGTTCATTGTATTTCATGTAATTTAATAAGTATTATATACAGCAGTTCCTGTTAATCCCACACCTTTAATCATTGCATACATCCAAAATCGCAACACTAGCTGAATTTTCTTTTCTCCAAGTTTTAATTATTACTCCATCTGCTTGGAATGTGTTTAAAAAATCACCACATTTCATTATTTGTAAAGCACAAAAAACAACCTAGGGGCAGAAAAATCTAAGTTGAACTTTGCTCAACTTTATAATCAGAGACAAACATTGGTGGAGCTTCTTTTTAATGAATTTTTTTGTTTTTAATTATATTGAAGGCAATGGTTGACTGTGCTGAACTGTTATAGAGGAGACGACAGAGAACGGTCTGCGAGAGGCGGGGGATGGTAATGGCTTGCTTTAGAGGAAATCTGGAACCTATAAACTCGGGCAACTTCTGGGACCAGAAACGTCAGAGCGATTCGTTTCACTTGGTTGTATGGCACACCTTTGTCTCCGCCTCATCCTTTGATCCGACCAATCAGTCAGAATTCATTTTTTTCTGTTGTCTTGTGCTCAGCTGTCCCCCAGAAAAAGAAACCTTTGGACCAATCAGTGAGTCAGATGGGTGGGCAGCTGAAAGCTTCATGCTCCCTTCGCTTTAAAAAGTCTGATTCGATTTGCTGTTGTTTCACATGCTGCAGTGGGAGTGGGACATGAGAACGTTCTAGCTTTGCTGATGCAGCGTTCTCTCAGCGAGTATGGGAAGAGATTTTTAACATGTAACGCGACAGAGCTGATCAGAAAAACTGAACTCATTACTTACGTGTTTTGGTTTGGCATGTCTGGATATGACAATGTGAAAAGTTGGTTGGCGAAGAAGAAGAACCCAGCAGAAGATCAGAGAAACCCGCGGCTGTACTGAGGGAGTTCCCGGCAGCAATCGGAAGGGAGGGAAACTGCTGTTACGGGTGGAGGAGTGGAGAGAGACATTAAAGGAAACTGGACAAAATAAGAGTGAAGGATACAGTGAAATAAAGAAGACAGGAGATAGAAGAAGAACGTGGCCAAGCATGCGAGAGGAGGAACACTCAAATGACCATCCTGAGGGAGGGGTGGTGTCCAGCAAGGAGAACAACAAACGACCACTTTCTAACGCCTGTCCTGTTGTGGTTGCGACGGCGGGGATCACCGGGCGTAAGCGGCAGATGGGTGCCCAAATGGAGGATCACATTTCCGCAATTACACCCACCATGTCGGCAGACGACGGCAAGGTCAAGCCAGTAGATGACATTCAGAGCTACAATCCTACTGGCCCCAAAAAGCTCAAGAAGAGTCCTCAGCATCACCCGCTTTCCCTTTCTCCTGCGCCCGGTCCCAGCCCTGAAGGTCTTTCAAGCGGCCTCGAGGACCCACACGGCCAGCGGGTCATCGCCAACATCCGGGAGCGCCAGCGGACGCGATCTCTGAATGAAGCCTTTTCCTCGTTGCGCAAAATAATCCCAACGCTCCCGTCTGACAAACTGAGCAAGATCCAGACACTTAAGTTGGCGTCACGCTACATTGACTTTCTGTACCAGGTTCTGCAGAGTGATGAGATGGACACCAAGCTGGCAGGATGTAACTACCTGGCCCATGAGAGACTGAGCTATGCTTTCTCTGTCTGGAGGATGGAGGGAGCCTGGTCAACCATGTCTGCTGGTCACTAGCCTTGTCTGGAAGCCTAAAAAGTATGATGCAAAGGGGCTGAGGAGATGTCCAAACTGTGTCTGCTCACTAGTGGATTCACACTACTTGACACCTCGGTTGCGATCTGGTTGCCTCAATGAAAAGACAGCGTAACACTTCATGAGAGGAAGCTTTCACATGAGCATTTGTTTGATTGGTTATGAACTTATGAGATGTAACCGTGGATTATTGTCATTCCACTTATCTGCTTTTACCAAAGCAGCTATCACTGCTCACGAATGCAAATGCAATGAGTTCAAGCAGGGACTGCTAGCTTATTTAGGGATTGTTTTCTCTCTTTTTTTCTTTTAACATGTGTATTTTGTTTACATGAATCACAATGGAAGCTTTCATTCAACATGCATTCGCTTCATCAAGCTGATGGTTAAGGACTCGATCGTCTTTGACGCTTCATAGCAGCACAGCTAATTCTGCTGGAGCCCCCTGACCCACCAGCTCTCTCAGGTACTGAAGCATGACAGCTGGTTTCATCATCATTGCCATCACCCCTGATTTTATCACCTTAAATAAAATCAGTATTATCACTATTATCAGTAACATAATCATCACCATAGGTCTACATACAATGAGCCATTTTTTATTTAACTTTCTTTCTTTCTTGAGGTAGAAAGTGTATAAAGGTTTGTGTAATATCTATAGAGCAGAGGACTTAAAAGAAAGAAAGAACTGCGAACACCATACTGAATGTTGCAAGAGTTGTCAGGATTTTGACTTTTCCGTGGGCTTTCAGCTCCTGGTTTTCCAACATTGACATTTAAGGAATCCCTGACTACCTCTGAACCTTAGCAAAAGTTGGAAGAAAAAAAAAAAAAAGCAGCCACGGCCGTCCGTCACTCTGCCTTAAGTTTCTTGTCCATCCCAAAACCTAGCCCCTTTGTTTCTTTCAGTGCCAAAAAAACCTCTCCCCTTGACGTTCTTTCCTCTCGTTCTGGCCCGAATTTGCTTGCGTTGCACGAAACCGCGATACAGCTAGCGAGCTGATGAGGAGGCGTAATGAAAACAAACGGTCTCGGAAAGCCATGAATCATGTGTGTCACCATCAAAGGGGAAGGCTGATGTGGCTCCCTGCTGGGCTCCCATAAACCACTGGTAGTGATGGAGGAGGTGAGAGCTGATTTATACACACAAATGTAGAGGTGCACACATGCAACTATGCACTTAAAAAAATACACTTTTTTCAATACATTGGCTCCACTAGGGAAATGCTATTGGAGTCCACATCATTACCAAATGATATACCTTTCTTTCTAATATTGTAGGCTTTTGTTTTGTGAGACGCAATGAACATTAAGTGTAAGGTTTACAGTTATTTCAAGACAACAGGACTGACATGCTGTTTGGCTTCAAAACACATCCATGACAATCCATTTCTCCCCTCACTGCCAAAATACATGAAGACCGGCAACCTATCATTAGAACGTCCCAGGGAGGTAGCTAATGTTTCCAGCTCTTTTAAAGACTTGTGGAGATGTTTACCGAGCCCCACAGTCAGCACAGTGCGGTCTCTGAAGGCTACTTCACTGACATGTTAGAAGACACTTGACATTTAGAAAGAATCCAGTTGTGGGCCAACAGAGAAAAAGCAGCCCCTGTGCATTTCTATGTGAAATGCAAACATTAAAATGAGTGCATGGCCTTGCCTATTCTCTATGTTGTCATGTAATTCAAGTTGTATTCTAAATTTTCATTTATGGATCAAATTGAAACTGGAAGTGACTCATCTCTCGCTTGAGATGCCTAAGAATAACATATAGTTATATCCTGCCTTTTGCCATTCTTACTTGGAAACAGGAATTTTGAATTATCTTTATATACGCAACATCCAATGCTGATGTGTATAAGTGGTTACAGTAGTAATATGTCTTTCTTTGTCTGACCAGCTGCTGAATAAAGTGACTGTGATCTTTCTTTTGAATCTCTGTTCTGCTCCTTGTTCTTCTTTCTGCGTATGCACTTTGTATGTCATGCTTCAGAGTAATGTGGGAAAACGAGGATCAGCTATACATACAAAGTGCCGTCATTTACCGAGAACATTTTTGACCACTTTCCTTCTGTAGTACCTTAAAGAAGCTGATATTATAGCTGTCGCTGTAAAAGATTGTGTAGTCGAAGCCAGGCTTTCATTTCAGAGAGCATTAGCGTATCCATCTCTTGTGCACTTCTCAGACTTTAAAATCAGGCTTTGTTTTAATGACTTATTACTTGAAATGTGTACAGTGTGATGCTTTACATACTGACACAGTATGACTTCGTAAAGCATCCTAAGCAGAAAACTCCTGAAAATAAAACTATCTGCAAAACTTTCTTGAAGTTCTTATTTTCAGTGATTGGTGCACAGATTTATACTCTCACCACGCCTTCCTTGTCTCCTGTCTCTCTTGTTAAACTGTCTCCTTTCCTTTCCCTTCCTCCCCTGCTTTCTGTTTTTAACGAGGTCTGTGTGCCTTTGCCCGGTCAGGAACACTTAATTCTTCCAAAAGAAACATGTTAAAGTGCAATTAAGTGCTCAGGAAATATTTATAGTATGTTTAGACCTAAATAATAACTTATAGCTTTATCATCTCAGTTGTGCTACTGTTTTGAAACTTGATGATTTAACAAACACTAAATGAATAAAGCTTTTGCACCACAATGTAAGAGTATTTTATTTTCATTTTTATGATCGCAAGGGAACATACAGTATAAAACTAAGTGAAGAATTTCGGTACAAAAACCCTGAATTGCAAACTATCCAGTGATGACAAAGCTCCCAAATAAAACAAGAATAACGTGATCTTAAGACTTGTGATATCTGTCTGCTAAGATATGTAGCTCCCCGATTTACAGCTTCTGATGTGCTGTGGTTTACAGAAAAATATAAACCCAAATGATTTTGACACAACATAAATACACTCACCAGCAACTTTAATCTTTAGTGTTAGCTTGTTAGCAGCCATCGTGCTGGATTTATAGATGCAAAAGTGACGATATTCAGATAACAGATGAAGTCCTAAGTTTTAAGCTAGTGCTAGCAAGTTTGATTAGCAATCAATTACCAACCATAACAACCATCTGAAAGGTGGGACTTGAAACTAAGTGATTTAGTATTTTTAAATGTCTCTTATCAAGTGACACGTTTTCG